TATGCACAATTTTGGTGCAATGCATGTTTAGATTTTTAAACACTGTAACTGTACATAAAAGGAATGAACTTCAAGAAAAAGAAGTAAAAATGGTGTGGGGTTGAGACCTCTTCAGACTTTAGTGTCCTGGCTTCTGCTCTGTGTTCCTGTAGTGCAGTGTTTCTCTCGTTGTAGAAAGTATTCTTATAAATCGTTGGTTTCATTATTGCTCTTCCTTGGTGGATCTGTTTTGTGAGAGCACCGTTGTCTTTTATGTTCCTCACTGCATTCCCCCGAGTGCTTAACACAGTGCCTGGCACGCGTAGGTGCCATACAAACAATTTGTTCAATGCTCAGAGGAGGAAGATAGAGGCATTGGGCGATCATAGTAGATACTTGCTTAGAAGTCTAATTCGACCAACTGGAAGGCACTTACCTATACATAGATTGTCTGCTCCATTGGCGTCGTGTGTATGCAGCGCATGTCCGTACTTCCTGGGCCCCACACTGGCCTGTCTGTAGGCTGGCAACCCTCCACCGCATTTGTGCGCCACGGAGATAAAAAATTAATGTTTATGTTAGTGGAAGGTAGACACAATTCAGAATATTAGGGTTTTGCTTGCATAAATATACACACAGTGAAATATAAAGGTGACTTGGTGTTTACATCAGTTATCTGTATTTCTGCTGAGCCCTGTCAAGGAGACATTTTAGTACGAACAGTAGTTGGATGATGTACACAGGAGAAAGAACAGAGCTTCCTGTTTCGGTGTGTCGTGGGGACTAATGCCAGTTCACAATGGAAAGACTGTCGTCTGAAAATCACTCTGCCAATGCTTTAAAATGCTGGTTTAGTTTCAGAAGCCAGGTATCTGCCTGGATGAGGCTCAAGGAAGAGATCTGGAAAATAGCCAGGGCTTCTAATATTAAGAGCTTTCAAAACCAGCAAGGCCAACCTCCGGTCAATTCACCACTTGATAAAGAACCGAAATAGAGCTGCTAGAATAGACGTGTTATCCAGCTTGGTTAAACCAACCGGTGTGCGTGCTGCTAGGTTCTACCCCCGCCTTGAGCTACAGAGAATCATTGGGCATCAAAATTAAGTGATGTGGGCCCAAGAACATCTGTTGCTATTGCAAAGTCTTCATGAACAATTCTCAAATAAAAAGAAGCCGTTTCTGCAGATGGTGCAGCTGCGTGAGCAGCGTAGAGGAAGGAGTAGGATCGTGAGGGGTTTCCGTGGGACATAAAGACATAACGTTCTTCTGAAAAGGCCCAGAACCATCTCTGACTTCTTCCTGTGGGTAGAATGACAGAAAGGTTATAAGGTATTTTTCTGGGTTCACCTAAAATGATGCAATATGTGGGATGTTTGGATTTCTGCTTGGAAAACAGGCTTGTCCTTCATATATTGTTCAGCCCTGGTTCAGAATAAGTAAGCTGCATTTGCAGCATGTGTAGATCCCTCCCCCCAACACATACCCCTTTCAGTAGCCATAGCAGATGGTAAATTCTGTGGCTGCCAGTTCTATCATAATGCGGTTGCAGAAAATAGAAAACGAAGCAACATGAAGACCCCTGATAGAACACAGCTGGGGTTGGGAGACAGCTTCTGATCGGCTGGTGATGACACTGGGGTTAGTGCAGAAGCACATCGCTGGACGAGAGAAACCGGTTCCTCGCATGTTGGAATACGGCTATGAGCTGCTAGAATAGACGTGTTATCCAGCTTGGTTACAAACCAGCCTGTTACAAACCAGAGCCTGTCTCCCTGGGCCTTGTCATCAGAGGACCTGGGCATAAGGTCTTACTTTTGGGGGATTGGTATAAGCCAACCTAAGATTGTCGTGTGTTATTAATGACCAGTAAATGGTAGCTGCATTGGTGGTTTGTGTGTGATGTCGGTTGGTGGCCTTTCTCAGATCTGTGTAGATAAGAGTACCATCCTGTTTAATAATGCTTAGCCCATTTCTTTGTCATACAGATTCTCAGTGAAAACTCCGGCTATTTGATTTAAGTAAGAATGAAATTAGCCTCTAATTTCTTCAGGTGGAGCTTCAAGTGGTCTGCAGAAGGACCTAAGTGGCGCTAACTCAGGAGCAACACTCCCAAGCACCAACTCTTAGATAAAGACAGTTTTCACAGGGGATTTTTACCTTTGGAAATGCCAGGCATTAGAAACATGAAATTAATTTGAAAGTAAAACATCAGATATATTTCATTTGACAATCTTAACTCAGGAGTTTAAGTCAAGTCAGAAATTATGTTTCTTTTTGTGCTTTAGACTGTACTGTGCCTTGTTGGAGGTGGGGAAACAGAACAAACAGAAGCTACATTCTAGAAAACAAGAGGAACATTCCAAAAACAAATGGCTAGCAGTCTCATAAAATTAAGGCTCAAACAGTATGCTGAAGAATCTAATAAAGCTTATTTGAGAATCTAGAACTCTAGTGTTCAGAATTTTAAACACCAGAAAACAATAAATGGAGTTTGTTAAATTGGAACTAGAAACTATATTAGACTTTTTTTTTTTTTTTACAGGGGATAGATTTTTCACAAGAAAACCTTTATGAAAAAGTAAAGTAGTGCCCCCTTATCTGCTGTATCACTTTCCACGGTTTCAGTTACCCGTAGTCAACTATGGTCTGCAAATATTAAATGGAAAATTCCAGAAATAAACAATTCATAAGTCTTAAATTGTGTGCTGTTCTGAGTAGCACAGTGAAATCTTGCAATGTCCCTGTCCTGCCTGGATGTGTCATCCCTTTGAACAGCATATCCACACTGGATTGGCTACCCACACGTTAGTTACTTAGTGGCCCTCTCACTTACCAGATTGGTTATCAGAGATTTTGTAAGAGAGAGAGAGAGAGAAACAGAGAGACAGAGAGACAGAGACAGACAGACAGATGTCTGTGGGGGAGACCACATTCATATAACTTTTACTACAGTACATTGTTATAACTGTTCTATTTTATTATTAGTTATTGTTAATCTCTTACTGTGCTTAATTTATAAATTACACATTATCATAGGTATCTACATATAGGAGAAAACATAGAATATATGGGATTCAGTACTATCCACAGTTTGAGGCATCCCCGGGGGTATTGGAACGTATTCCCCATGGATAAGGGGAACTCCTATGTGCCTTCTCCTTCAGGAAATGGAGCCTGACCCCTCTTGTGGAAGGTCTAAGTCAGGACGTTGTAAACAGCTTTGCCGTTGTAGTTCTGTGGTCTTGTTTCATGTACTCTTGTCAGATGGATTTACCCAGGTGGAGGAATGGTGATAGGTTATTTAAAGTTAGCGTTTTTGAGAGACTAAAACTAAACCGTTCGCTTAACTTTAAAAAAAATATATTTTAAAAGCACAGGGAAAGGCAGATGATATAACAAATACTCAACATACAGAATTAACTTATTTTTTCAAAATTTAAAAATAAATAATTCTACAGATAAAATTATTGAATATTGCCTGTGCCTTCCAACTCTAGTCTCCTTCCTATGTTTTCAGAGACAGCTACTGTCATAAATTTTGTATGTCTTTGTGTGTTTAGGTGTCATTTGATATGTACTCTGCAACTCCTTTTACTCAGCATTACGGTTTTTAAGGTTCATCTGTGTTGATATGTAGAGCTTTATAGTTCATTCATTTTCACTGCTCTATGTTGTATTATAGGAATATATGATTTATTGTTATTATAAATGCTGAACATGTTTGTATGGATGATCTGATACACGTTACTAGAGATTGTGGTAATAGAACCTGAAAGTAGAATTGTCGAGTCATAGGGTAAGTGCATTTTCAATTTTGATGGTTTATTTCCCAAGTAGTAACACCATTTGATACTTCCACCAGCAGTATGTGTTTCCAACTCCTGAGATCAGACTTTTTCAGTGTTTGCCAGTCTATCAAATGAGACTATCTCACAATTTTAATTTGAGTTTTTCAAAGTATCAGTGGCATCGTTGTTTTTAGCCATCGAAATTTGAAAATAGCCAAAGGCATGAAATCCCAGTCTATTTATCTGGCACGATAGGTTTAAAATATAATTTAAAGTTGTGTTTTATTCACATGATCCTCTTATTATAGTATTCCACAAAATTAAAATTTTAATTATTCTAATAGCTAAAATCACTTTTTAAAGTTCAGACATTTTTGATGAAAATCTATACTTTCCCATTTTTTGAAATTCAGGGTAGATTGAATTCAGTTCTCATAATGAACATTAGGCTTTTATAAAATTCTTCAGGAACTTCAAGGCCTGTTAAAATAATAAATACTAGTTTCTATACCAGATACCCTATAAGATCCTCATGCTTTAATAATATATCTATATCTATCTATCTATATATTTTTTTGCCTTTTATGGTCTTGCCTTGTGAAGTTTTTTCAGTGAGTCCTCCCACCTTTTAAAATGAAAAATCCATTTTATGTGAATGATACGTGCTTTACGTGGAATATTTTATCTTCTTTTAACTTGCTCTCTTCTTTTATTCAGAATTCTCAGGACCCAAGGATGGGTTTTTCTTGAGAGAGTGCGTGCGTGGGGCATGGGGCTGCAGTTTGTCTTCATGTGGTGGTCACTTCCGATTGTGTACCATGTTCTGGATTTTCGAAATGATCCAGTCTCAGGGAATTTGACCTGCAGATGAGTGAAGTGTTCACTGTGTTAGCAAAACACCTACTTAAAAAGAGGCACAAATATTCTCTTAAAGAATGAATACATTTTAACTCAAGGATGTTAAATTGGTCTGTAACTGAGGAGATAATGAGCAGTAAGGTGACTCATTATCTTAGAAGGTCCGAGAAAATTGGCCGGATACAATGGCACAAATACCATGCTGAGAGAGCAGTACAAATACCAAGTGACCATTAATGTTTTTATTTTTTTTAAAGGTTTTTGTTTTTTGTTTTCTTTTCATAAAATTGCTTTTGTTTATAAGTTTGCTCTTTCTTGTCTTTCTAAACTTATTATAATACAAATTTAATATTTTCATTTTTTTTTCTCATTTCAGTGTGACAAAATTAGGCAAGAACGAGATGAGGCTGTTAGAAAACTGGAGGAATTTCAGAAAAGTACGTAAGCATTTCAGTGGAATCATTATAACGTGTATAACTGTGTCTTGAGATTATGTGGGCAGACATGTCCCCTGAGTTTAGCTGCTGATGCATTGAGTATCCAAGAAAGCAAGAATCGTCTTCCTGTTTGCCCCCAAAATGCCCTGGCGTTACTGTGATTTTTCAAAGATATGGAATGAGCATTATTGTTTTATGAGAGTGTTATTATAAAAGACAGTTTATACTTGTTATAAAAAATTTTACTATACAGAACAGTTAAAGGAGAACAAAAATTACTTGTTATCTTGACTCTTTGAAAAAAGCCCATGTTAGTATTTTATACTCTTTTTTTCTTGGTCTTTTATCTGCGTGATATATGTATCTATAAAAAATGCAGTCATATGTTGCATTCAGTTTTGCAGCCTGCTTTCTTCAGTAAACAATATATTATGGTTATCTTTGCTTATCAGTAGATATGTATATTAGTTTTAATTGTCCAAAATATTCTGTTATATGATCATACCATAATTTATTTACACGTTTCTTTGGTGATAGATGGATCATTTCTGGTTTTTAGTTATTGTAAATAATGCCATGGCAAGTATTCTTACGCGTACATCTTTACGGTGATCTGATTAGTTCTTTTGGTTATAAAAAAGGAATTCTAGGTTCATAGAGCTTACACATTTTTAAGACTTTCAATGTTTGAAATAGCCCTCACACCAAGGAAAGTTATATTTTCACGAAAGCTATAATTTTCTAAGTTTTTGCTATGTTATTTTGTATGTTATATAAACTTGTTAATACTCTATCCCCTAAGGTAGAACATTTCCGGTGACAAAGAAGGATCAGAATGAGATATGTCCTGGGAAAAGGGCCAGACCTTGGCAGGGAACGTGACTCACCTTCCCTCTGGAAGCAGGGCCTTTCTCCATCATTCTGCAGATGCTGCGTTAGTCAGGGTGTCCGATTATAACGTAAATGTTAACTTGGTAACTACATAACAAAACGTTTTATTCTTGTTGAAGGTAAAGCAGCTATAAAAGCGAAGCATTAGAGTTAAATTTCAGTAGCCAGTTTATTTCAAGTGTCTGGCTGTCAGTAACAAAGAATATCTAAAGGGAATATTGTTGATAATACCTGTCTTTGGAGGCCAGTATGCTCTGACAGAAATGTCTATTATTTATGAATGTATGACTTACAATAGTGTAGAATCTTCTTCCCAATGCAGGATTAATGGGATGTTCTTACACTTGTGCTGACACCGAGTCATATCCAAAAGAGTTATACCATTGACATTGTGACCAATTAATGTGCTGAATCAATTATTGATAGTAGATTGGCATAGTTAAAATGGGACTTTCTTTGGGGGACTAGGAAAGCTTTAAATATTTCTCAAAAAAAAATGTTTCTGAGATATATGGTTCACGATGTTCGAACATAGGGTAGAATTTCAGATTTGGAAGAGAGTGAGGCCGTTATCGCCCGTGAAAAGCACCATTTGGTGTGAGTCCACGTAGCCCTGAGCAATTTCTGCACTAGTAAAATTGGGATAAATGGCTCTGCCTCATAGGCTATTCAAGGATTAAATGAGATAATCCATGTAAAAAGTGCTAAACACAGTGCCTGGGGTTTTAGTTAGCGCTCAAACGTTAGTTTCTGCTACCACTATCATTGACTGCACCGTCCAGCGCCTGCCTGCTCTTCAGTTTTAAGAGTTCATATCATTTGCCTTTTGTGAGTGACTTTCTAGACACTGGTCTTCACATTTGGACAGCTGTTGGGGAAAGTTTCTTTTGGTGCTGAGTTGAAACTGGCCTCCCTGTAATGTTTACTCGTCGGGCCTAGTTCTGGAAGTATAGACAGAGCAGCTGACTGAGGCTCGGGAAAAGCTCTGTCAGGCCGTAGGGCGCTGCTCTCCCTAGCTTAGCATGCTTTTTTCCTAGCTGGTTTTGTCCATATTTCCATGCCATTCTTGGGCCTCTGCCAGCTCTTTCTGAGCCTTTTTCTGATCTTTCTGTGCAAAAACATCACTACGTGGTAAAGCCATGTATCCAAGAGAGACAGATTCCTGCGAAAGTAGAAGGAAATATAGTCCTCTAATGTCATTTGGGCCACAGCTAGATCTTTCGCTCTGCTGTAGGGCACACTGGTTTCCCTGTACTGCCAGTTTTCATGGGTGTTTTCTTACTACATGAAAACCTTTCTAAGTGATCTGATGTTGCACAGGAACGTATGGTATGTTCACCACGGACACTTTACACACATCCTGGCATCTAAATATTGGTGAGAGTTGGCTGGATGGAGTGGCGGTTTGCTCAGGAAGCAACATCATTGGTGGTGTCACCTTTAAATATGACGAATTAGAAAACGAATAGAAAATTGGAGTCACCTAGAAATAGGTTTGGCTGGGCTTTACTAGTTAGAACTCTGTCATTCGGGATGTGTTACTTAACTTCTCTGGGCCTCGGTGTTCTCAATTATAAAATTGCTGTGATAATGCCTGCCTCACAAGATGTGAGGATTTCCGAGAGAACACATGTAAAGGGTTTCGCACAAGGCTAGGCACGTAGTTGGCTCAATAAATGGCGATGGTGATTGTTTCCTAAGAAATTCTACACAACAGGGAACATTCTCGTAAAAGGGTGTTCACAGATACACTTAGGACTGATACACTTTTTCAGTTATTCAAACAAACACAAACGTGACTCCCTGCTTTGTACTTATGAATCAGCAGTGTGCAAAGTACAAGAGAGACATGCGTAAAACAAAATCTCTGCTTTAATGCTCACAGTTAGTAGAAGACAAAAACAAGTAAAAGACAAAACCAAACCCAGTTACCCTACCATGCGATGTATTCCATGACGGCAAATGTATAAGAGTGTATTGGAGTCATAAAAGGGAGAGAGACAAACTGCTGATTTTGACTCGACTGATAAAATCTGTGATTGATGTACTTTGAGGTTATACTTCTGAGTTCTCAGAGTCATTAAAAAAAACTTTTATTATGGAAAATTTCAAGCTTATACAAAAGTGAGACAATAGTATAATGAACCCACATGTACCCATCATACAGCTTCAGTAGTTGTCAGCTCATGGGCAGTCTTCTCCCTCTGTGATGCATACTCCCTCTCACTGACCTCAGATTGTTTTGAAACTAATTCCAGTCATCATGTCATTTATCTGTAAGTATTTCATTATGTATTTCTAAAATACTAGGATTTTTTTTTTTAAAACACGACTGCCTTAATAGGGTCACTTTATTTAAAGCTCATTTTTTTTTTTTCCGTTTTTAAACCTTCGTGTCATCCACATTATAGGTGGTTTAGGTGCAGTGATCATGGATTGTAGAATTCGGGACCATAAGGCAGATCATTAAATGAACAATGAAAGGTTTTTAAAATGTTTATCCTTTGAAAGGTACAAATAAATTTGTTCATTAAAAGAATTCTGTTTCGTGTCATGTGATCAGACTTTTAGTTTTGGAAATGGGGTCATGTTTCTTACAGATATTAATGCCCTTTGAAATATGTTCTTCCCTTTTGAATCTAGGAAGTTGGTGAGTAGATGTCTGTGTTACCAATGTAGCACTGGGATAATTTTTTAAACTAAAAATTAAAGCACAATTTTTAATTTCTACTGTTCCCTCTTGGAGGAAGAAATAAAAACCCTACCTGATAGGGTAGTCCATATCAGAATTGGAGAAAATGTGGGTTAGTGCTACCTAGCTAAGTTTATCAAGTTCAAATTACAGGGCAGCTTTTTACAAAATGTTTAGAAAATAAGTTTGTTTGTTTTTTTCTTTTTGCTAGGGCTAACCCTTACTACCATGGAATAATTTTTCTTACTCTTCTATGAGCAAGAATGTTATTGAATAAAAAGTCAAATTCCTATGAAAAATGCAGAGTATTTATGTTTTTGTTATGATAGTGGAAATACCAGATTGTGGCAGAAGATGTCAAGTAGTTAAGGCTAAAAATTCAAAGTAATATTTGATGATGTAAAAATTGTATAGGTTTCTTTTCTCTTTCCTTCACATTTTTGAAGAACCTACCTTGTAAACATAGTGATAAAATGCCAGGAATATTAGGATTTTAAGGAAATAATAGAGCCTATTATTTAAACTACAATATAAAAGGCAATTATATTGATGAAGAGCTACATGGGCTTTGTGTGTGTGAATAAACTTGGCCTGTGTTCAGCTTCTATTTGTTCTTCTGGCATAAACACATATTGTGTGTGATTCCAGTTTAATGGGGACCCGTTTGTATGCCAAGCAGCTGCATTTTAGGACCTATTGCGTGATTTCATAGCTCTCTGAAAATTGGTTCTATTCAGAACAAGAGATAGAAGAGGAGAAGGGGGGTGGTGTGGGAGGGGGAGGGGGAGCTTCAACACACAATCATTTCTTTTCAATTGGAGCCAGAAAGGTTGATGACAACATGACCATTGTGTTATAATGATAAGACCACTAAGGCATCTGTACCTCTCATCAAGGCTTTCACACAACAGCAGATACAATTTAATTCACTGCTCTGTCAGCAGTGCTGATACCATTATGCCGTCTGTCTCCACAGTTATAATCACTGTCCTCTGAGAAATGCAGTTGAAATGATCTTGAGCAGTCAAAGAAACTCTCAATTAAGGCTGCCACTTCCAATGTGTCAGATTGTGTCTTATGCACTTGGTACAATTTTCACTTCCAATCCTGTTTATTTACAATGTCTACCAGTAATTACGCTTAACGTGTCATTTAGTGAGGGGGGCCCTGCCAAGCCGATTGTTGGGTGCTGCTGTACCATTGAGTGGGAGTTTCTCGAAGTCAATGCCATCAGCAGCTTTTAGGCCCTGATGGGATGCAGTAGTAATGTTGATAATGCAAGTATCGTGCTCATCAAGTCATAATTAGATGCCACTCAAATGTGCCACTTGTAATAACAGTGTTGATTCATGTTTTTCTCGGTGACTGCAACTACTAATTAGTTAAGTGGTTTTTGGTTGGCCTGCATTTGCTGCAGATTATTATTACCCCTGAAAAAATGTCAAGGTTAGAGATGTTTCTGGCCATTTAGTGCTGCTTTATGAATTTGAATATTAACATAATAAGAACTTTGGACAGACTTAGGAAGTAATACATTTTTGTATTTAATTTGGAGAGAAATTTTTTCCCCTGAGTTTAATCATAATTGCAGGTTAATTAAGCTTAAATGAAGCAAAAGTAATCTCTCTTTGTGTTACGTGAGCCCAGTGCTTTTTGCCTAACTTTGTTGGGTTTCACGTTTGGGTATACATAATTTTTCTTTTTTTAAGCCAAACACATGTCAGGAATTATACATGTCTGTAGGTAATTTTGAAATTCTGAGCATTTTCTTTTACTACAAATATGGGTGAAAGTAATCGGTATTTTTCTTACATGATCTTCAAAGTACAATCAAGTTCAAATTACTTTGTACTTTTACATCTCAATTTACATAAACAAGCTACCAAAAAATATCTGAAAATTACTATTTTTCAAGTATTGGTAAAATACCAAGTAAAATTTTTTCCCTCATCTTCGTGACAGTCTGTGATGCAAAAAGCAATTTACTAGCATCTATTTCCATTATCATATAGTTCAGAAATCTCGTTGGTTTATTTCTCTGCCCTGGAATTTATTAAAAAATAGTAACTAGTCTGTCACTAATAAAGATGACTCTCACAAAACTTACCTTAGCTAAGCTGCCACATAGTTATTACGGTTATGAGATCAACTCAAGATTTAATTTTTAAAATTTCTCGTTAGCTAATTTTCCTTATTAGATCCATGTGTCATATCCTGATAAGAAAAGGAAATCCTGCTTGTCACTTTTTATTTATAAGAGGCTCTTTTGTTTAAATTAGTGGTTATGTATATAGCTACATAGAGAATAGACACTTAAAAAACATCCTAAGTAGCTTTCTTAAAATGTATATAATAGCAATAAAGTTTCTTTGTTATGTTCTTTTTTTCTTTATACATTCAGATATTAGCTAAGATTTAATCAGGGCAGCATCTTAAACACTTTTTTTCCATGATAGCTAAAGGTCTGGCTAGCTAAAGAATTGAAGTATTCTGAATCATGGGACAAAATGTGTGGGCTTCTGGAATAGCTGACTAATCTTTGAATGCTGAGACTTTTTTTTCCCCCCTCATTCCTAGTTTCTCACATGGTTATAGAGGAAGTTAATTTTATGCAGAACCATCTTGAAATAGAGAAGACTTGTCGAGAAAGTGCTGAAGCTTTGGCAACAAAGGTGAGACTATTCAAATTAAAGGAATTCTACCTGAGCTTTTCAGTTTCAACTTGCTATTCTAGACAGTGGCCTCTGTCCTCTTCTGCTTTTTCTAGTTCTTTAATCTGTTGTCTACTCTGGTGATGAGGAAAGTGTTGTAAGGTCTCAGCATTGTGGAATATGATTATGTAGATATGTCTTAATGCAAAGGTTATTTTGATTGTAAAAGGAACATTTGTATGTATGTATTTCAGCATTTGTGCTTTTGCCTATAAAAAAATGATCCCAGAGTAATCTATTGAACTGGACTTTTCAAATGTCTATGCATTTGGTTAAAATACTAACCACATTTCAAACTAACCTGGTGTGGCATAAAAGAACAGTGAATGTTTAATGTTTGAATCAGATGAAAAAGTCAGCCTGAAGCCTACATTTCAGGTGATTATTTGCAAAAGCAAAGTGAGGGCATGCTAAAGGTGACCTCTAGTGCTCCACTGATTGCTTCTAGCTGATGAATTTACCAAGTGTGTAATTTTCTATATTCTATCTCATCAGGAGTACATTATTATTAAAGAATGTTTTTATCTCTGTCTTATGTATTTTGGGTTGGGTAAAATCCATCTGAACCACTTCATCAGAAAATGGATTACAGCAATTTTCAACCAAATTTCATTAGTAATGCTGGGTGTATTTCCTTCCCCTCTCTCCTGTCACCTACCTCCAAAGTATTTCTTTGGCCGTGACTGAAATTCTCAAGTCAGTCAGTCTGTCTGTCTGTCTGTCTGTCTGTCTGTCTATCTATCTATCTATCTATCTATCTATCTATCTAATTTGTATGCATTAACTGTGTGCTTGCTAGAGATATTTGCTTAATGACACTGCATTAGAATTCATAAGATCTGCAGTCAGAACTTAAGAATGTAAATATGTGTATGTAATTTCTCTCCTGTTATTTGTCTAAAGGATGCATAGCAATATAGGCCATTGCTTTAACAACAGTTATGACATGGGCGCTCTCACATTGTTTCTGCTCTGATGCACATCACTCGGGTTCACTGGTATGTAATACCATGTGGATTCTGTTTTCATTTCCTTTATTTCTCCTTTTCAAACAAGTGGAAAAAAATATTTGGAGCATACTAGGCACTCTGAATCTGGTCGTGGCTAAGTAAAGTCTCTGTATTTTCTCTTGTTATTAACAAGTATTCCTGATGCAATAGGACATCCAAAGGGACAACACTGACTACTTCTCAGGACTGGCAGAGTTTATGGAAATCAGTGGTTTGGGAGCAGTATATCACAGGTTTTATTTCTGGTTATGTTATTTTGCGCATGTGTGACTTTGGGCACGTTAGTTCTGTTCCCCAGACTGCCATCTCATCTTGAATGACAGGATGGACTAGTTAGTACTGGAGTGAGAAAGAAGCAGACTTCTTTTTTTATTATGCACTTTAATCACTGGTGTATAATAATCTAAAAAATTATTTTATCCCCTCTTTTAATTTAGTTAGTGACTTTGAACAAGAGAATTCCCCTCTGTGAGCTACAGTCATCTTGTCCTAAGTGTCAGGGTAGATCAGGTTGATTTTTTAAATTAAATTTATTAGAGTTACATTTGTTAATAAAATTATATAGGTTTCAAGTGTACAATTCAATAATACATCATCTGTATATTACATTGTTTGTTTACTGCCCAAAGTCAAATCTCTTTCTGTCACCATGAACTTGACCCTCTTTACTCTTACATACCTACCCCCTCCCCATTTCTCTTCTGGAAAGCACTAAACTGTTGTTCGTGTCTATGAGTTTTTGTTTTTATGTCTTGTTCATCTGTTACTTTCAGTTTTATGTCCCTCATATGAGTGAAATCATATGGTCCTCAACTTTTTCTGTCTGAATTATTTCGCTTAGTGTGATAACCTCAAGATCCATCTATGTTGTCACAAATGGCAGTATTTCATCTTTTCTTATAACTGAGTAATATTCCATTGTATATATGTACCACATCTTCTTTATCCAATCATATATCTAAGGACACTTTGGTTGTTTCCATGTCTTGGCCACTGTAAATAATGCTGCATTAAACATCGGGGTGCGTGTATCTTTACAGATAAATGTTTTCAACTTTTTTGGGTAGATACCCAGAAGAGGGATTGCTGGGTCATATGGTAATTCTGTTGTTAACTTTTTGAGGACCCTCCATACTGTTTTCCACAGTGGCTGTGCCAATTTGCATTCCCAACAGCAGTGTATGAGGGTTCCTTTCCCCCCACAATCTCTCCAACGCTAGTTATTACTTGTTTTGTTGATAACAGCCATTGTTACAGGTATGAGGTGGTTTTGATTGTGGTTTTGATTTGCATTTCCCTAATAGCTAATGAAGTTGAGCATCTTTTAATATGTCTGTTGGCCGTTTGTATGTCTTCTTGGGAGAAGTGTCTGTTCAGGTCTTCTGCACTTTTTTAATTGCATTATTTTTTGTTGTCGTTGAGTTATATAAGTTCCTTATATATTTTGGATATTAGCTCATTATCAGAGGCATTGTTTACAAATATTTTCCCCCATTCAATTGGTTGCCTTTTTGTCTTGTTGATGGTTTCTTTTGCTGTGCAGAAGCTTTTTAGTTTGATATAGTCCTATTCATTTATTTTTGCTTTTATTTCCCGTGCCTACGAGTTCAAATTCATAAAATTTTTTCTAAATCCAAGTTCTATGAGTTTAGCACCTATGTTTTCTTCTATATAATTCATTGTTTCATGTCTTATATTTAGGTCTTTGATCCATTTTGAGTTAATTTTGGTGAATGGTGACAGATAGCAGTTGAGTTTCATGCTTTTGCATGTGGCTTTCCATTTTTCCCAGCACCATTTATTGAAGAGGCGCTTTTTTCTCCATTTTATGTTTTTCACTTTGTCAAAATTATTTGCCCATATATATGTGGGTTTATTTCTGGGCTCTCAATTCTGTTCTTTTGTTCTGTGTGTCTATTTTTCTGCCAATATCTGTTTGATTATGCTATTTTGATTATTGTTGCTTTGTAGTATAATTTGAAGTCAGGCAGTGTGGTACCTCTGGTCTTGTTTTTGTTTTCTCGGGATTGCTTTGGCTATTGGGGAGTCTTTTGTGATTCCATACCAATCTGATGATTTTTTTGTTCTATTTCTTTAAAAAATGGCATTGGGATTTTGATGGGGATTGTTTTAAATCTGTATATTGCTTTGAGGAATATGGCCATTTTAACTATGTTGATTCTTTCAATCTATGAACACAGAATATCTTTCCATTTCTTTGTGTCTTCTTCAATTTCTTTTAATAATGTCCTGTAGTTTTCAGTGTATAGGTCTTTCACATCCATTGTTAAATTTATTCCAAGGTATTTTATTCTTTTTGCTGCAATTGTAAAAATGTGTTTTTTTTTTCATTTCTTCTTCAGAAATTTCATTTTTAGTTTATAGGAACTCAGTGGATTTTTGTACATTTATTTTGTATACTGCAACTTTACCGTATTTATTCATTGTTTCTAATAGTATTTTGGTGGATTCTTTAGGATTTTCCATGTAAAAAATCATGTTGTCTGCAAAAAATGACGGTTTGACTTCTTCTTTCCCAATTTGGATGCCTTTTATTTCTTTCTCTTGCCTGGTTGTGCTAGCTAGGACTTTCAATACTATATCGAATAAAAGTGGGAAGTGCGGAACTCTTATCTCGTTCTTGATCTTAGAGGAAAAGCTTTCAGTTTTTCACCATTAAATATGATATGAGTTGAGAGTTTGTCATATATGGCCTTTATCATGTTGAGTTACTGTCCTTCTATACCCATTTTATTAAGTGTTTTAATCAAATGGATGCTGTATCTTGTCAAATGCTTTTCTGTATCTATTAACATGATCATACGGTTTTTATCCTTCATGTTTATGTGGTGTACCACATTAATCAATTTGCATGTTGAACCATCCTTGTGCCCCTAGAATGAAGCCAACTTGACCATGATATATAATCTTTTTAATATGCATTGTTGTATTCAGATTTGCCAGCATTTCATTTAGGATTTTTGCATCTGTAGTTGTGTTATCCTTATCGGGTTTTGGTATCAGGGTAATGTTGGCCTCATAAAATGAGTTAGGAAGTATTGCCTCTTCTTCAATTTTTAGAAGAGTTTGAGAAGAATAAATATTAAATCATCTTTGAATGTTTGGTAGAATTCACTAGTAGAGCCAACTGGTCCTGGATTTTGACTTTTGGGGAGGTTTTGATGATTGTTTCAGTTTCCTTACTGTTGGTCAGTCTATTTAGATTTTCCAGCTTTTAGTGATGCAATCTAGGAAGGTCGTATATGTCTAAGAACTTGTTCATTTCTTCTAGGTTATTGAATTTGGTGGCATATAGTCTTTCATAGTATCATTGTATGATCCCTTGTATTTCTATGGTATCAGTCATCACTTCTCTTTCATTTCTGATTTTGTTTATATGTGTTTTTTCTCTTTTTTCCCTTAGTGAGTCTAGATAGGGGTTTGTAAATTTTATTGATCTTTTCAAAGACCAGCTCTTTGTTGCATTAGTTTTTTCTATCGTCTTTTTGTTCTCAGTTTCATTTACTTCTGCTCTAATTTTTATGATTTCTTTCCTTCTGTTGACTTTGGGCTTCATTTGTTCTTTTTCTCTTTCTTTAAGATGTAATGTTAGGTTGTTTATTTGGGATTTTTCTTGTTTTTTGAGATAGGCCTATAGTGATATAAACTTTCTACTTATCACTTTTTCTGTATCCGAAAAGTTTTGATATGTTGTATTTTCATTCTCATTTGTTTCTATTTATACTTTGATCTCTCCTTTTATTTTTTCTTTGACCTATTCATTCTTTAGTAGCATGTTGTTTAATCTCCACATATTTGTGGGTTTTCCCACATTCTTTTTGCAGTCCAATTTCAAAGTGTTGTGGTCAGAGAATATGCTTGGTCTGATTCCAGCCTTCTTCCATTTTTGAGGCTAGTTTTGTGTCAGGGATGATTTTATAATAGTACCCCAGAGTCACTGACTATAGGAGTGTGGCCCAGGCAGGTGTATGTTGAAAAGCTGCCAGGTGACTGTTATATTCATCTTTGGTTATGAACCACTGTGTTACTCATATGTAAGGTCATTTTTATAATTGTCTTGATAGTAGGATCCTTAATTTATACAGTTTATCACCTGCTTTTTAAGAAAATGGGCACATGTTTTGTTCTTGAGGGTTCACTGTGAACTTTGGGGCTTAGAATAAAACACAAACCAAAAAACCTATTCAATCAAACACTAGATGTTCTCATTAGATATGGCAGATAGTAGAGCTTAGAATGCAAAATTTAGAAACTTCATTATATGGGATCAATAAATGATAGTAGCATGTCCTGATTTAGTTATCATTGTCATTTTTGAAAGTAGGCTCCATTTTCTGAGTAGCAAAATTCCTGTACATTAATTCTTATTTTTCTAAATCTTTGTTCTCAAATTAATGACAAATGGAATGTTAAATACTTATGATGCAATTGACTTCATAATTTCCTTAAAAGCAAGTATAGATACTTTGCTAAAATATGTAGGTTAAATTGATAAATGTAGACCAGTTATTTAAATTGTATGGTCCAGATCTGCTTATTTTGTATCTTTAAATGTTTATTAAACTGTGCGCAATATAAAAACTCCATTTAAATTTGAATATAGAAGATTCTGTTACTATAGGATTATGAAAGATTTATTTTTCCTTGTAACTTAGAGGCTCCAGAAAAAAAGTAACATACCATTAACCTATATAATTTGATGATTAATAACTGCAAAGAAATAGCTTAGCCAAAATTTGTGAATTCAGAGTTTTCAAAAGTGTTCAGTTAGTATAGTTATAAGATCTCATGTGTATAAACCTTATATTCCTTCTTTTAAAATATGAAAATAATGTTTTAGGAAAGACTCTTGACATTTTGGAGAAGACTCTCGACATTTTCTGTCAGGCTTCCCCCCAACCCCTGCCCCCTCCCCCCAAGTTTGTGACTTTGTTAAAAAGAGTAGTTGTATTACAGCCAGAAAGTAGCTGCTGGATTTTGGTGCCCTGTTTAATAGAGGCATCAAACTCTTTTGAGGGCAGATCTCTTAATTCTCAGGTTATTAAGTATCCCTGTGATGGTGGCCTGGGAAATAATATATTAAGCCCCAGAGGGCAAGAATTAGTATTTTCATTTTCTCATGAGTATCCTGAAGGAAATAAACAATGCATAAACTAGCTGATAAAAGATTTCTAAAGGAAAAGTAAACACACAAACTAAACCTCTTTTGTTACTGTCAGTAGCTGACACTTCCAGAATTTTTACTATATGTCAGTCACTCTATGAAACACTTTATTTGTAATATCTCATTTAATCTTTATATTATGAATAGAGGCTATTTTTATTCTTGGTTTGCTGATGAGAAAACTGAGACTGAAAGATTAGATCATTGTAGAAGCAGAGACCATTTGATTGCTGAGCTGATTCGTAACTCTGCTATTCCGATTTTGTAGAAAGGTATACCAAAGCACCGCATCACTCTACATCTGTGACTCTTAGGACTGACGTATGATGGAATCACTTGGGGAGCTCTGAAAAAGTGCTCTGCTGGGATCATGCCAGGCATTTTGGTCTGGTGAGGGGCTGTGCACTGGGATATTTTAAAAGCTCTCTAGAGAGTCTAATGTGTGGAGCTGGGAACCATTAGTTTAAATATTTTTTGATGGTATGGGGCTCTTAGTAAAGGAAATACCTTTATTTGCATTTCTATATTTTATATTTTACACTAGAAAAATCAATCTTTTAAAGACTTTCATGTACTCAGAGGAAACCTTTTATTTTTTAATCTTGAGAAGAGAAAACGTAAGCAAACCATATTTTCTTCCTGTGGACTTTGGACCATGTGTAGTCTTTATGTGTGCTTTGTACTAATGTTTATATGCACATGAACACATATGCTAAAGAAGGTGATGATAGCTGAGTAACTAAAAACCAATTCATTTCTACATGAAGGAAAAAACAAATATATTAGTGAATTAAGATTCCTTTCCTCTATTACGAATTAAAATTCTTTTTATAGAGGTAATGGATATATATCTTGAATGTTCTTCTATTGCATATTATTAGAACTCTCTACAGATAGAAACATGTCTTGAACTAACTTAAGCCAGAAAAGAAAAAAAATAGGAATTTGTTACAGAGAGATTGGAGAATCCCATAGAACCTGTGAGCTAGGAGCATTTCAGGAATGGGCCGGAGCCCTGTGGGAAACCCTATTCTTATTGCTTTTTCTCTGCCTCACTCTACACATCAGCTCGTTTTGGCTTTGCTACAGACTTCTTTCCTCTGTTCATCAATTCAGTAATAGAATGTGGTTGCCACCTGCTTCTCTACATCTGGAATGTATGGAAAGATACTAATCTCTTAGTTCTAGCCTCCTGATTTCTAGAGAAGGGATATGATTGACCAAGCTTGGGTCATATGCCTAATCTCTGGACTAATTATCTGTGGCCAAAGGGGGAAACAGGGCTGTTCCATTGAAATCACATAGAATGGCAGTATCCAGAAAAGATGGAGTGCTGGGCAAACATTTAAAAGTAATTCACAGTACAGCATCAAAGAAAACACTCACTTGAAATAAAGTGCCTTAATTAAGGCAATCAGGTCGATGCTTGGTTTAATCTATGCTGGTGTTTTAATTTCCTTAGATTTCTTATCAGTTATAACTAGCATTCTCACATGCTGCTGGCTATAATCTAGGCATCAGGTCTTACTTAAAGTAATAAGTTGAATATTTAAAAGTGTAAGTAAAACCTTATTTAATGAATCTTCTAATTGTTATGCTGTGAATGTTGATGAATATGTAAGACAAAAGTACACTTAATTTGTTGTTTAAAAATCCCAGACACTCATTTGACTACTGTTAACCATTTTTATATTTTGCGTTAGCTAAATAAAGAAAATAAGACATTGAAAAGAATCAGCATGTTATACATGGCCAAGCTGGGACCAGATGTAATAACTGAAGAGATTAACATTGATGATGAAGATTCATCTACGGACCCAGATGCTGCTGCTGAGACTTGTGTCTCCGTACAGTGTCAGAAGCAAATCAAAGGTGGGACCCTTGGCTTAATTATTGAGTATATTTTTGATAATGCTTTTTCAACCCTGGTCGCACATTGGAATTACATGGGAACTTTAAAAAATACTGATGCCTGGGTCTACCTCGAAAAAAAATCTGATTTAAATGTCCTAGGAGTAGCCTGATTGAGAATCATGCTAGGATATAACATTTGTCTTTATGCATCACTTTCTCGTTTGGGACTGGGCACTTTTGAAAGCATTGTTTTGACAGACAGCCAGTTAGTCTGTAAACTTGAATATGGACTATGTGTTAAGATATTTTTGATGAAATGAAAATGAAAGAAAGAACGAATGAAAATATATCTAGCCAACCCCTCCTGGTTGTCAGGTTCTCTGTTGGAATCTTTAGGCAAGATTCCTCCCCAAATTGCTTAGTCTCTGCTCTCAAAGAACTTATCATCTGATTGAGGCAATGAGCTATAAGCATTATGTAGTATTAAACAACCGTGTTGGTCAGCAAGAAGTGCCATTGGGCAAGGTCAGATGATACATCTATTAAATACACTAGACGTGCACACATGCATTGTTTCTATTAAAGACATAGGAAAGCAGGTTTTGATTCAGTAACTGTTGGGGCATTTAAACATAGTGCACATGTCAAAAGCAGTACTCATTAGTTTGCTTGGTAGACAAAACTTCAGTTGCAAGTGTAAAGAAGAAAGTACTGTGAGCCCTCCATATACACGGGTTCCGCATCCACGGATTCAACCAACCATGGATCGAAAATATTCAGAAAAAAATGTTACGCTATGGCTGACGGGTACTCTGTAGTTAGGCCTATACAATGGTTTTGTCTTTACTGAACAGGTACACTTTTTTTCTTGTTATTTGCTAAATAATACAGTATGACAGCTAATTACATAACATTGATATTGTATCAAGTATTACATCTGGAGATGATTCAAGTATATAGGAGGATCTCCTTAGGTTGTAGGTAAATACTGTGAGATTTTATATAAGAGGCTTGAGCATTCGCAGATATCCGAGGGAATCCTGGAACTAATCCTTGCGAATACTGAGGGATGACTGTATAAAGAAAGTCATCTTTATCTGACTCTCCACTACCTTAACCTAGGACCAAATAATATTTATGTTGGTGGAAAGAGAGAGGCAGTTTAAAGAATTTTCTTTTGTTCATAGCTCCCTTCTGTTAGGTCTTGAACTGTATAGTAGCTCTTGTTCTGTCTTCAGGATGAGCCAGCCAGTAGAGAAAGTGATCTTGAAATAAGTCTCTGAGACTCCTTTAAGCTGGGTTCATGTAAAAAAGTTTGATTTAATTTATAAATAACCACATAGCAGGTTTCTTATTGTCCTTGGAGAAAGGTAAAAAATTAAAAGTAGTTAAAGACTAACTGGCAAAACCATGAGCCTGGGCATAAATTTAAGTGCTCTGCGCTAATCCGTTTATATATTTTTAACATTTGAATGGTAGAAGTAACTTTAATCTAACATGAGAAGCTTTTGCATTTACCCTTGCTAATATTTTCATTCGAGTAACACCGTTTTCATTAAATCCCAATAATAAGAAATATGAAATAAATTAAGAAACAAAACACCCACAACTCTGGAGAGAAAATTACTAGAATTAACCCTTTTTCAAATAGGTTATATTTTGAGTCAGTTCAAATAATGTTTAAGGGCTGTAAATTGGCAGCATATCAGGATTTTTTTCTTCAAATGAAAATCTCCAAATTAGTAACTGCCCAGTTGTTTATATTGTATTGTGACAAGAGCCCATGACCATTATAAAATAAAAAAGAAATGAATACAGTGACTTAAATTGTTTTGCTGAAAGCTTAAAAAATTTTACTTCTAAAATGCCAGATAGTTTTCTACAATGTGGTTTTGGTAGAATTCGAAGAAAACATAATCTGGTGCCTTTAACCTAGTGAGATTGCTTGATATTAAATTATTGATCACTATGGCTGTTGTTGTAGGGCACGAAATTGAGATTTTCATTGTCTTTTCTTCTTTATTTTCCTTTTAATTGTTAAATAGCCTTGACCATAAGCCGCATGTAGACTGGCATTGTCGATTCTTTTTTCAACATTGATTTCTTCTTTTAAACATACATCTATTTATATTTTTCCCCTTATGTTTTCTTTAAAAATGCAGAACTTCGAGAACAAATTGTATCTGCTCAGGAGGAAAAGAAGATATTAGCCATCGAACTGGAAAGTCTCAAGAGCAAACTTGCAGAAGTAATTGAAGAAGTATGTATCTTAGGCCTGAAAGGCAAGACTTTTAGTGTTATCAAGGTTTTTGGGGACTGCATGTTAAAAACTTACTATTGGAAGCTGATTTCTGACGTGAGAACCACGTACCAATTTTAATCTTCTCTCCTCCCCACTGTTTCAGACATACAAAAAGGTAAAGAAAATAAAATCGTGAACCTTCATATACCACTACCTAGCTCAATAAACGAAACACTAAAATAGCATTAAAGTATTGTCTGTTGCCCCTTATCATTCACTATATGAGGCAGATTTGTAAGAATATCTGCAATTTAAGTCGTACACTTTGTTGCTGCTGGTGAATAAGTATTCTGCTTTGCCAATGGCTGGCTGGCTTAGTTGGGAAAGTCTACCCCGTGACCTCCAACGTGTATATGATAGATGGTAGAATGGGCTCCAGTGGGTATTTGGAGAATCTTTTTCTTTTTCTTTTTGAATTGTCTTTAAGAGCAAAAGTACATAATTACTTTTTGTTGCATGAGGCTTCAAGGATCTGCCTTTGCAATCCCGATATAACTATGTCGATAATTCTCAGATTCTGTAGCCCAGAGCTCCCCAACTGATGATGTTCTATGATTGTAGACCTCAGAGGGCTTACAAGTGTGCCAAAGTGTTGATCCCTTCAGCCAGCAGCCTCATCCGGTTACCTTAGTTCCCATATGCATATTATCATCTTAAAGGCCATAATGTAAAAAAGGTTGGGAAGCAGGGCCCACCAGCCTCCCAGTCCCAAGAGCTTTGCCTTATTGTGGTAGAACATCCCGATGAATAAGAAGACGGATGATGATATTTTGGAAATGGCATTTTTATTGGACAACATATAGCAGTTACCAATTGAAACCAAACACAAAATATAGTTTATACTAAAAGAAACCACTCCTAAGTCTATCTGATGGATTCTGATGGATTCAGAATCCCTTTCAGGACCATTATCTTAGTTTTTTTATTGAGTGTAACTGTAGGAGGGAGTCAGGAAACACATTTGATGCACCCTGTTCCTCAGTTATAATTATTTATTGATGATTCTCTCCCCTCCCACTCAGAGGTGTTATTGGAAGCCATTTCAGAAGTTATTTTTATTATGACTTTCAGGTACCCGAAAAGTATAAAAAAACAAAATAATGAACATCTGTATGTCTACTATCTAGCTGAATAACATAAACGTTAAGATAGTGTCGAAAACCCCAGTGTCTTTCTCTCCGTAATTACATTCTCCGCGCTCCCTGCCCCGTTTCCCCAAACAACCATTATTCTGAACTTGAGATTTGTCATTCCAATGCTATATTCGTATTACATTTGTACTACAGTACATAGCATTTGGAGTGTTTTTAAACTATGTAAATGTACCAGCTTTTTTTTTATCCCATATAATGCATTTGAGATTTATCCACTTTGATATATGTAGCTTTACATTCTTTTTTAAAACTGTTTTATGATATTCTCTTCTCTTATTGTTAGATGCCAAAAATTATTTCAGATATTTAAGTTTTGGGGGAAGATTACTGTACTGTATGCGTTTTATTTAAGCCAAAAGTCATTAAAGTTGAAAGTATTTTTTATTTGAAAACTTTACGTATGTTTTACGTAAGCCAATTATCATCAGAGTTTAAGATGAATACCAAAATGGAGTATTGGATCTCTGACTAAATGGTTCATGTATTTTCTGGGTGCTTTGTAGTTGGATATTTGCATTAAAAATATCAATTATTTACACTGGCCAGCTAGCACACTACCATGTTCAGGGACCAATGTCAATGTCATTGGAAATATGTAAATAAACTCTCTAGCAAATTTGCATCCTAACTTAAAGAGCTACTTTTCAGGCTTTAAGAAGAGCTTTAATAAAAGCCTGGGACAGCGAAGCCAATTACTACTTTAAATTGTTAACTTCTTGTAGAAAGTTGAACAGCAGTTTGAGAATCACACATCACCATATGTCATGTTTTACAATTTTGGGTGTTTTCTCCCTTCAAAATCTCACATTTTTAGGTAAATAAAGTTAAACAAGAAAAAGAGGTTTTAAATTCAGAAGTTCTTGAACAGAGAAAAGTCTTAGAAAAATGCAACAGAGGTATGTATTTCTAGTCTTTTTTTCTCAAGTGCATATGTAATTTATTTTGTTTACATGAATCGTATTGTTTTATACCTGTGCCTAAAGAGTCTTGTAGCAAAAATCTTCTGTATTGTGTTTTCCTAACTTCTAGCAATGAGTCTCTCTCATTTCTTTTTTATCCCCCATCTTAGAGTTCTGGGACATTTAAAAGTGCTTTTACTTAAGGTACTCAGGACCCACTCATTTCAAAACTTAAAACCTCAATTTTGATCTGTCCTGCATATGTCCTGGGACCACGGCCATTTTGGCTATCCCTCAGTCTTTATGTATTCGGTAGGTTTTTTAGTAAATCTCTGTTCAGTCTAGAATAGATTAGGCTATTTACATAAATGCATGCAACATGATATGGTAAAATTTGTAATTAAGAGGATGTGAAAAGTGGGACAAAGGGAAGGTGAGAGTATATATTGTTATACAAAGTGCATACTTGCTCTGAAGTCTTAACGCATTTCCTGCCTTTGTGCCCGAAATCTCGCTCTGAGCTGTCTAGGGGCCAGTGCTAGGCTCCCATGATCATCCCACAAATTTATGATCGTTTATATGAATCACATAATAAGGAATCTGTTAGTCAGGAACAGCAGACCTGGTTCCCTGGTAAGAAGGAAATTTCTCCAAAAAGGGAAATTTCTGTACTTCTAGAGAAAACTGTGTGGTTTGGGCTTACTTGTCGTAAAGCACAACATCAAGTCTCATGGGACTGTTCTGTGTCCCCCGGTTTAAGATGAGGGAGTGATGCCAAATTCTAGTTCTGCAAACGTAATTCTGAGGGAGGGGACTTACCACGTCCTTTGTTCTCCCTTTTTTCTCCTCAGCCGTTCCCTTTCCTAATTCAGAACGTGCAACACCAAAAGGAGATCGTTCAGGCTCAGGCCTCTCTGTTGCTAATGGGAATTCTCCATCTTTGTATCATTCATGATTTGAGAATTTTGAACAAACGAAGGACCTCGTAGTTAAGGGTGGAAGAAGTTCTCCGTTCTGTCTACATTTAAGAAGATAGGGTGTAGGAGAATTTTCAGTCTTGATGCACTGTGCTAGAAACAGTGTTCTACAGAGGTTAATCGCATTGATCTTGCCTTCAGAGAATACCCTATGTAAGAAAAGAGAGATTATATAAATAAAAAGATGACTAGGACCAACCTTATTTCTTTCAGAATCCAAGTAAAAAGGCAAGATATACGAACATTAAATTTTTATTATAACGTTCTGGACATAGAAAAGAGAGTCAATTATCTTGTTCAGGGCTTCAGAGAGTCATAGTCTTCTTTGTTTTGTTCATAAAATTTCTTCTTTAAATAGGTTTGAAAATTATTTTGCTCTCAGGGACCTATAATTCACGTCACAAACCACCACTTGTATTGCTTTACTTGAGTAAGACTGTTAGTCTTTCTTCTAAGTAGGCAGTAGGTTTCCAGAGTTTAGAGCTTGAAATTCTATGTCATTACCAAGCAAACCAGCCCTTAGTTAGGACTGAAGCACCCTGGTGCTTGTGGGAAAGTGGCCATCAGGAGAGCCTTTTAAAGAGTTTGTTGACATGACTCAGCTCAGGATTGAAGGTGCCAGAAGCTGATGGGGAGACAAACGTGGTATCTCCTTACGTTATGCCTGGTTTCTAATGGTGTCATCAACCCCTCTGTCCCATCTACATGGTGATTTAACCGGAGGGACCACAGAACTCAGAAAGTAGCATTTGTGTTGCTCTTTTTTGATAAGACCTTCCTTTGAAGGTTTCTGTCCTACAGCAATTCTTTAATTCAAAGCTCTGACTCTGGTCCTGAATGGATATAAGGCTGTTTCTCTTCTGTGTAAGCATGGAGAACACTTAAAATAACATATATATAACATATATATCATATATATATGATATATATGTTATATATACACACATATGTTATATATATAACATATATATGATATCATATATGTATATCATATATATGTTATATATATACACACATATGTTATATATATAACATATATAAATATATATACACACATATATATACATATACATATGTATATATATGTATATATTTTTTCAGCTAATCTACTTTTTTATTGGAAAGTACACATATTCATACAGGAAAAGGAAAAAAATCTCAATCTTTCCAGTCTAGAGATAAGCACTGTTAGTATTTTACTGTATATTTTTCCAATCTTAAAGAAGAACCTTATGCATACATTATGTTTATAACATATATAGAAGACAAAGAAAATACCAGCAAAGAAATAATCTCTTTACCCATTTGTAAAGAACATCTCTGAACAGCTCTCTGTTCGTACCCCCTCCTTGGATCATTATCATTTTCTTATAGTTTTGCCAAATATGTATGTATCCCTAAACAGCGTATTGTTTAATTTTGCATGTTTTCAAGCTTTATATAAATGGTATCATTTCGCATATGTCCTTCTGCAGCGTTCTGTGTTTGTGAGGTTCACCCATGTCGAAGGGCTTTGCTGTATATGTTTGTTTTCACTGCTGTCTATTATGTTGTTCAGTGTCTGTAGCAAAATCCATTTGTCCGGTATCCTGTTGGTGGACATTTGAGTTTTTTCAGTTTTTTTTTCTATTCCAAGTCATGTGGTTATGAAAAGTCTTATACATGTTTCCTGGTGCACATGTCCAAGAGTTTCACTAAGATCATAGGCCAAATGTAAATTTTTATCTTCAGTTTCACTACATAATGCCAAATTACTTTTTGAATAGATTTGTAAGTTTATATTCCTGTTAGCAGTGTATTTGTTCCCGTTGTTCACCATCCTCTCCAAACTTGACATGTACTTTTTGGTTTTTTCCAGTTGCCTCTTAAGGTATCTGTGTTTTTACTTTCCATTTCCCTGATTACTAATGAAGATGAGTATCTTTCCACGTGTTTATTGGCATTTCAAATATTTCCTCTTCTGTGAAATGCCTTGTTGATGTGTTTTGTATGTGGCTTTTAAAAAACAAAAATGACCTCATTCTAAAAGTTATGAATGTCTTTGCATTCAATAAATATACTTCTATAATATAATTTTGATGGCATTATAACATATCTTGTACGTACCATGCTTTACTGACCCTTCCATGTTAAACCACCTATTATTTTAGTATTTTCAGCAACAATGCAGAGAGCATCCCAGAAACTAAAGCTCTGTATATGTTCATGATTTATTCTCTGAAAATTATTTAGCTCTCAGAGAATATATAATACATTCCTAAATGTGGAATCATTGAGTCATTGAGGAATTTTGAGTAATTGAGATTATGAGTAATTTTAGATTTTTGATTTCCATTGCCCTCCAAAAAGATTTTATCAATTTATATTCCAACCAGCAATGGTTGAGCGTGCTTACATGCCTGTATAAAGAATCTTTTCACCGCTCTTTTTCATCTACATTCCTGTTAATCTATGTGGCATATTATCTGTTTTCTTTCCTTTGTCTTAAGTGTCCATGCTAGCAGTGGAAGAGTATGAAGAAATGCAGGTGAACTTGGAATTGGAGAAAGACCTTCGAAAGAAAGCAGAGTCATTTGCACAAGAGGTAAGTTTCTTGTTTCTAGAAACCTGTTTTTTTATTTTTATATTTTAAAGAACTTTGCAGATGACACCTCACAATATATTTTGATTTTTTGAGGTTGAATAAGAACTTATCACTTTGAATTAAGGATCAACCGATTTAGGGAGGCAGCTATGCAATAGAATCAGGTTCACTGAACTTGGTGTCAGGAGATCTGGGTTCAGAGTTTGGCATGTCAGTAAGTTGCCAGTTGTATGGCCTTAGAGCAGTCCCTTAGCCTCTTGGAACTTCGCTTTCACCATCTGTAAAATGGGTGATGATACCCACCTAACCACGTGTATTTTCAATTCAAATGGCATGATTTTTCAAAGGTATTTTATAAACTGTAAAATGCTACATGGGGGAGAGAAGTCATATTTAAGGATATCATAACTTGTGGTTCAGCTTGAGTTTAGGGTTTTTCTATGTTTCAAGTAGCCTTATGAATCCAGGTTACATCTCCATATACCATCTCAAATAGCGATATCACGGTATTAGTATTTCTCTTTGGCTGCTATGCAGTGCTGTCATTATGGGAGTTGATTCTTCTACTTGCTGTGGAACATCGCCATATTGTACAGTCATTAGCTCAGCCTCTCACCAGAGTAATGATTTTCCTCTCATGTTAGAGGTAAGCTTTGAGCTTCTCATGTTCTGGCTTATCTTTGTTGACATGTAGGCATTGGGTGTTCCGTGGCTTTGGGATTGCTTTCCAGGGAAATGATGAGGTCCCAATCGTCTGGACTGTAAGAGCTCATGATGAGGAGCTGATCTGCAGGAGATTTCCATCATGTATGAATATTTTGAATTTGTGTATATACTGTAAGTTGAAGGAAAGTAGCCAAAGAAATGTAAAACATTCTTAGGTGGAAATATCCAGTGTACAAAGAAGACAAGGCATGGGGTTATGTGAATGATGTTTGAAAATCAGATTATAGTTTTGTGCAGGAGTCTTTCTCTGCTTGAATGTAGCTGTGCTAGCAATGAACTCTATAAAAGATTTAGCCCAAGAAGATCTGATTTGAAATATGATTCATTTTATTCAGAGAGTTTAATGAAAGGTGAATAAATATTGTTCTCTTATTACCTGGAAGAAAGAAAAAAGAATTGGAGTGTGTCACAGCCCTTTGGAAAAAGCTGCAGTAATATAAATAATGGAACTAAATAAACAGTTGAGGGGGAGGGAGAGTAGAGATAATGTGAAGACGCCTTCATTGCAAAACTGAAAAGGTTGGCTGATTTTGACCTGAATGCCAGGGTCTTATATTGAGAGACATTTTCAGTTTTCCATCCGTTGTTTGTAGAATGATGTTAGAATACAAAGCAGCTCTAAGAAAGCTTGAAGGCCATGCAATAGCAGAGAAGATAGATGGAAGAAGCAGGATTCCACTAAGAATATGAAAATGAGTGATTTACTCTGCCATTCACCTGGCGGCGATTCGCAGAAACAATAATGCTGACACGTTAACCAGGGACGAGGGGACAGACTCTTGAGAAGGGACAGCAGGAGCAGCTGGCAGCATAAAGAACTGCAGTGGTGCTCAATAATTTTACGATATCCAGATTTGATTTACATAGTAATGAAAAGAAAACTATTTTTTTTCTTTCTTTGTTTTTTTTTTTTTTTTTTTAAAGAAAGCTAGATTAGAACTAATATATCTTCCTTTTTGTATGATTGACACATTCTTGGATTTTCAACATTTGACTACTGCTAAAAGGTTTATGACTTAGTTTAACAAGTAAGTACCAGTTTTTCATATTTTGTTCCTTAGTACATTCGGCAAATATTTTATTGAGTCTGACACTGTGCTGATAGTGGGAATTTAATGGTGAAGAAAGCTAGATTAGAACTAATATATCTTCCTTTTTGTATGATTGACACATTCTTGGATTTTCAACATTTGACTACTGCTAAAAGGTTTATGACTTAGTTTAACAAGTAAGTACCAGTTTTTCATATTTTGTTCCTTAGTACATTCGGCAAATATTTTATTGAGTCTGACACTGTGCTGATAGTGGGAATTTAATGGTGAAGAAGTCAAATACGATGAGCTCTGCCCTTTGAGGCTTACTGTCTAGAGCCTTAGAAATGAACTTTTAATTTACTTTGTGGATTTAATTATGAAAACAACGTATATGCCTTGTAGAAAACACAAACAGTTCTCAGATGTGTAAAGTAAAAGTTGAAAGTTTCTCTCCCATTCCTACTCACACTTATCCATTAAAAAAAACAAAAACAAAAACATGATCACCTATTGGCTAATTTGGGTAGGGTATTAAGGAAAAGAAATAACAGGTGAATAGAAAACAATGTTATTTTCAATCATGGGAAGTTGTGAAGATTAAATGAATAATGTGTGTAAATTGCTTAATAAAGTGCTCAATAAATATTAATATACCTGTTCCCTTCTCTTTTACTTTCCTACTGTTAACTGTTTTCATCGTCAGGGAAAACTAATTGGTTTAAAATAAAGCATTGGGTTTAGTAAATAGCAGATGAGATTAGCCAGGTTGTTAGGAGTTTGGGCTTGTAAAGTAGACAGATCGGGTTTAAATTCGGGCTTTCCACTTACATGTATTTGAGGGAAAGTTGCTTAACCCCTCTGAGCTTTAGTTACCTTATTACTAAAAATGGGATACTAGTATCTAGTTGACAGTGTTGTTCTAAGGAGTAGATGGTATAACATACGTAAAATGATTACCACCATAACTATCACATAATGTTTAGTAAATTTTAGCTATTCGGAGCAGAGGTAGATAACTCATAGGATTGGTGTAAGGATTAAAATAATGCATATCAAATACTTAGTAGAGTACCTGGCATAAGATAAGTTCTTGATAAATATTAGCTACTATTAGTATTAATAGATTTTAAAGCCATAATAAAATATTAAAAACTGAAGTATACAACTCAGTGTTGTACTTTGTTGGGGTAAGGGTAGAGGTATTGAAGATTGTATAAAAGTTATGAATGAAATCATAGCAATCATTACTTCTAAAACTGTAATCCTATCAAATTCAGAAATTGCCTTTAACTTTTTAAAAAAAAGTCCACATGCTTTCCTTTTGCTCAAGTTGAGGAGATATTGAGCTTGACTGGTATGTACACTTTTCTCATTAACTTTTGCAGATGTTCATTGAACAAAATAAGCTGAAGAGACAAAGCCACCTTCTGCTACAGAGCTCCGCTCCTGACCAGCAGCTTTTGAAAGCTTTAGATGAAAATGCAAAACTCACCCAGCTCCTTGAGGAAGAGAGAATTCAGCATCAACAAAAGGTAACAGGTTTTATTCTGGAGTCTTAATATACATACATACTCAAACGCACACACAGACATATTTAAAATGGAAGGAGTTAGTTTAGTTACTTAGAGTTCCATATTTTGCCTACAAGTCACCTTTCAGAAAAAAATAAGTACCAAAATGAAGTTAATTTAGTGCCCAGCTGAAATTTATAACATGCTATTATAGATTTATCTTTAACGGTCCAAAAGATCAGAAGAAATGAGGAAAAACATATAACTCAAAAATCCTGTATAATGCACACAATGCACTGTTTGGAAATCTGTGAGTCGATTGCATTTTTTGGAGACTGCATACACTAGCAGAGCATTAGTCTCAAAGAGCTTGTAGGAAGGCATAGGTTTTATTTAAAGAGGAAGGAAAAGTCCATGTTAGTAGTAATTGTTTGCTTAGAGAAATTTTCTGATTTTGTAAACTTGCACAAATGTCTATGTTTAAAGACTCCCTAAGTGGTTATTTCAGTTCGTTTGAGTGGAGCTGTTCCAGCTGACACAGCCTACCTCGGGAGCTAGGCAGAAAGGGTAGTCACCGTGGTAGGTGAGAACGAGGATGCGGGAGAGGAGAGGCGAAGAGGTGGAACAAAGGCTTTCAAGTTAAAGAAACCACTTAAGAAAAATTACATCAATATTTATACTACTCACAATGTGCCTAGTTTGCGAAGGAAAGGCTGTTAGCTGCTATTTATTGTCACCTGTCGAAGTCTCTTTAAGCAACAGTGTCAACATTTAATCCTTGGAAGTTTCTGAAGCTTTTACAAAGTTGGCAGTGAGGTGGGGTAGATTTTTTTCCTCCAGGTGGAGTAGATTTTTTTTTCCTCCATAAGAAATGTTGGTATATGTGTAGAGAACCTCTAGAGGAATAGTTGTTGTCCCTGGGGAAGAGGGCCGGGAAGTCGGATGAGAAGGAAAGAATTTCTTTGTCTTTTCTCCCATATGCTAGAATTACCATTTCAAATGAAGAGAGAATAAAAGAATGTTTTCTTTAAAATTTAGTTAATGCTGGAATTTTTTGGTTCTGAGAAGTCTTACTGCTCGCAGGTAACTCATTTGGCAGTTAACACATGCCTAGGACCCCCTGAATTGAACTGAGGTTCGGGACTAAATAATTGGGTATGCACCTTGTTGGGGTGAGTGGCAAGGTACTGAAGAGTCGATAAAAGTCATGAATGAAATTATAGCAATCAAGACTTCTAAAACTTATGTTATACCATACAGTTATTCTATATAATCTTTCATGTAGGTGGTTTAAAATAATTCTTAGCTGTCTGTAAGTTCCCTTGTAGATTCAGCAATCTTTCAAACACACTGTGTTGTTTTTATGATTATAAAAATAACGTATGCTCCTTCTAATACACTAATTTTAAAAATGCAGAAAAAGTTAAAAAAGAAAATTAAGAATCTCATATTTTGGTGTACATCCAAATGGTATGTAAACATATAATTTTATGAATATAGTTTAAATGGAATCGTAATAACATGCATGCTGCTCTATAACCTGATTTTTTTCAGTTGATAATACATCTCCTCATGTCAGTGTATGGTGAACTACGTGATTTTAAATGGTTGCATAGTATTTCATTTAAGAACACACCGGAAGTCATCAAATCAATAGTATTGGTAGACATTATTTCCTATTTTTCCCTGTTTCAAAGAACACTTTAGTGAATAGATTTGAACACTTGTCTTACTATCACTTTAAAACAAATTATGAAAGTAGTATTTCTGAATTAAAGGGCCTTTCCTTCTTTGTTTGTTCATTTAAGGTTTTTGATAGCTGTTATCAAATTGTTCCCCCAGGGGTCTCTTTAATACTACCTGAATTTGTCTCTTGAAAATGGGTATGAAAGTATTCATCTGTTTTAAGTAAATTTTTAGATATGATTGATTTTACTTTTTTGACTCACATTTAAAACTTAACTTATCTGGGACATAAGTCTCCAGTAAATTTATATTGAATCAAATAGTTGATAATGATTTTAAGTTTTATCTGTATCCCAGAATTTTTATAGTTTTTAATCTCTTTGCTATGAAATGCAAAGTAAAAGGGAAACATTTTTCTCTTGATTTTCCTCAACACAGGAAAAACTATATCACCACATAAGAGTCTATTTGTTACTTATAGGTCAAAGAATTAAAAGAGCAACTGGAAAATGAAACACTCCACAAAGAGATACACAACCTCAAACAGCAACTGGAACTTCTAGAAGAAGATAAAAAAGAATTGGAATCGAAATATCAGAATTCTGAGGAGAAAGCCAGAAATTTAAAGCATTCCGGTAAAAGCACTGAGTATGCTGTGTCTGATTAGTCAGTGAATCTCCCATCAGTAAGTACAAAACCTGGCATATAGGTCGTCCAGCACATTTGCTGAATGCTATAGGAAAATACCAAGATTTGTTTTTAAATTCCTTCATCTCTAACCATTGCAATTCAATACAGTGGCTGCTATAATTAAATGATTCATCAGTATTTTTACTTATCTTTTGGACCCAGAGCCTTTATGAACATTAAGAGACAAAGATACCATTATATGGGAACACCTAAGTTTTAGCATTTCTCAAGGCTTCATTGATGAGTGTTCATTAAGTACTTATTTTGTTCATTTTAGGGTACATTTTTAAAAAGAATTAAGATTTATATCACCTTCATCTTTGGTGTCTAATTATACACATGAAATAATACTTACAATATCACACCTAACAATAAAATGGGCAACAATATTTATATTAAATGGAAAACTTTTAAAACACCAGGGGATACTTAAATCAAAGGATTTATTCATTCAGTTCTAGAAAGCTTAATAGGAATGTACGAGTTGGAATACTTCACAGGGATAAGTAATAAGTTTCTTTTGGAAGGTAGGTAATTTAAGAAAGCAGGTTGTTCCCTTTATAACAGCTTCAATACTCACTTGAGATATTTTTGGTTAATTTTATACTAGAATTTTGAAATCTGTACAGAAGAACCAAGTTGGCTTTCTTCCTTTCAAAGTATTCAGTGCTTGCTAATCCGCAATGAAAATTAATTACAATTTATTTTTTTAAAAATTGATCTAAAATTAAGAAATAGTCCATTCTTTTTCGTGACCAGCAGGGCAGCCTGTAGTGAAAGCCATCTACCTTTGTTATCAATAGAGGGTGCACATGCTAGAGATATTTGAGCTTCAGTTTTGAACATTTTATTTAGTTTCTGTGTATACCCAGCCATACCCTAGGGTACTATGAGAACTACAGAAAAAAGCCATGCCTTTTGTCCTTGAACTCAAACTCCCTTTGGAGAGAGACTCACATGCATATGGAATAACTAGAGGATTCTTGGTGTCGGAGACCTTATTTAAGTGTTGAGAGTAAAAACAGATGGACAGGTCATTGAGAGGTACAGTCAGTCATGGAAAGTGGAATGGCCGCGGAGAGAGAGAGCTCTTCCTGTATGCGAACAGTATTCGGCACTTACAGCCTATGAGAGCCCTCATGAGAGGGGTTTGCATCTGCGATATCAGTTCAGATGGTGCTCCTTAAAATCGGGAACACTGTATCTGGAATAGCACTCGATGGAACTATATCTGGAAAGCATAGGCCCTTTCATGTTGTTGGTGCTTAGTAAATACCTGTTTCATTAGTGACTTGAATGAAGTGAATGAAAGAATAATATTTCCAGAATGCTCTTCAAATGAGTAAAAAAGTTTGAGTTACAGACATTGGAGAGTCTGAGTCTGGTTAACATCGAGAACACTAGGATTTGCAGTTGCTGAATGAAATTAAGTGGAGGAGGAAAATATGCTATTAAAATTCAGTACTAAATGTCATCTTTAAAATTAATTCTCAGTCTATACACTTTAAAAGTCAAATAGTAACAATTTCTTAGTGTTCGAGTAGTATATTCCATTGTTAACAAATATTTCTTCGACCCACTCAACCCTTACTGCCCACCCATTCAGCCATTGTCGTGAATTTCTTTTTCATAGTCGTATATACAACAAAAAGATGGACACGTTTTCTTGTAACATAAGCAAGGCCTCTCTTGAATTAGTAGGCTGGATGATGATAAGTATAAACAGTTCTGCAGTTTCACATTGAAATTTCTAACTTTACCCTAGTAAAAGGAACTTGATTTTGAAGGAGGTTATGGTTTCTCCTTCCCACATACGGAGAGTGTTAAGTTGCTTCCTGTAGCTCTTTTCTGAATGTGTGATCTCCGTGCAGTTGACGAACTCCAGAAACGGGTGAACCAGTCCGAGAACTCGGTACCTCCACCACCGCCTCCGCCACCGCCGCTCCCGCCTCCACCGCCCAACCCCATCCGGTAAGCACATCCTGAAGTGTCATCCTGCTCTGCCTGAAGTGTCGTTCTTGGACAGAGAACCCAAAGTTTATGTTAGTGGCATTTTTTGTTTGTTTGTTTTAATCCTGGCATAGATTGCATCATTAGAGGGATGGTAAAAAGTATGAAAGATATCAGCTCGGGTTTCAGAGAATTTTCTAAAAACCAATGTATTATGCCTTTCTTGTAATATATGTAGAAAGGGGCAGAAGAAACACCTGGCAAAGACATTCTTGAGGCCTACAGTGTTCTGCTGTCGTAGATGGTCAGATTCCATGTGCGTGTTCCAAACTGAGGAGCTAGACACTGAAAGCAATTGTTTTGATTCTTCAGTTTTAAAATTTCGGTCGACGACGTTAGAATTTCCTTTAATTGGAAGACCAAGGAATTTTGAGCTTCTCCAGAATGTTTTCATCTTTTTCTTTCACTAATTTAAATTTGAAAAGGTCTGGTTTGTTCAGTTATTTCAAAAACAAAAGCACTAAACTAAACGAAAACTTAACAATACTGATTGTTATGAACAGTAATTAAACTAAAAGTACTAATTTTTTTTTTTATCTCTAACCTCATATTTAAACCTTTAATAATGCTGAGAGAGTTACCTTTCATAAGAAGAAGAAATTGTTTAAACTCTTGTGACAGGAAATCATCTATGCAGACAAGAATGCACTTTTTCTGAAGCCTCAGGTGACTTCACGGTATTGAGTGCCTGAATTAAGCACAATGTACCGTAGGAGCTCTAGAATCAGATTTTGCCTTCTTTGTGGTTCTTCAGCCCACCAGGCAGAATTATGTAAGACAATCTGCTTGCTGTGGTGACAGCTTACCTCCTCTTGTCATGATGTTAGCTGCTTCTGTATAATTTATTCTTGAACAAATGGAATTTAAAATTTTGCTAGATTTTTACCTTTCATTAACTCATGTGATTTGTTTAATCCTTTCACACAGAGAGGCCATTTATTCAAACTCTGTACCTTTGCTGATCCATCTGAATAGAATGTGTAGCATGTCCCTCCCACACGACTATGAAAATGGGGCTTTGCCTTTTAAAAAAATTCTCATTAGTTTTTCTTACTGAGTAGGGGATGACATAATCTACTTTAAGCCATTGAAGTAGTTAAAGCAAAATAATTTTTACACGTGATCGAGCCAAGAGTCAATTAAAAGAATTTCAGGTATTTTAAATTCTTTCTCTCCTGGGTTGCTAAATCTGTAGGAGATATTCTGAATTTGACATTTAAAATAGAAAATTCATCACTTTGATCTTTCTCTAAGATCTGGAGTTTTGAGCTGATAAGAAAGGTCACTTCTGCCTATGAAGAGGGAGAACTATTAAAAATCGATTATAGTCTTGCTGTTAGCCTTTAACTTTTAGTCTCAGAAATCTTGAGAGCCCTTAGAATTAAAAATAAAATATAATCTAAGTAGAATGTTTTCCCAAAGAGCACAATTTATACAGTTAAATTGAGAAATGAAAGTAGAATTCAGATTGAATGTCTAACGCATGAATTCTTTTATAAGGCACTTGAAAGAAAAATTTTCATTGAATACATGAATGATTTTTATTTTAAGATAAATTTAAATAGTATAAGACATAATTTCTCTGTGGAGTTTTTTTTTGATAAGGATTACATTCTGGTGAAAGAAATATATTTGCATACATACTGAGTTTCAGTGGCATTCGAACCCACCAATCAGGGTTTTCCAACTTTGTTCCTGAGCCATTTGTTTTACCCCGGTGTACATCACTGATAGAAATGAAAGTGGGGGAAAAAAAAAAAAAGACTAGGGCCTCTGGCTTCTTTAAGTGGTTTTATTGCTTTTTCCTCCTCTTCCTGCTCATTCGACATTGAAGGCAGGTAAGAGAGAAGAAAGCAAGGAAGAAGGCATACTTTGGTCATTTTATACTAGTGGTAGTGAAATTAGGACAGGTCCTGGGCAGGTGTGGCTCATGGGGGAATGGTAGGTTATATTAGTGTATTGGAGTTCTCCAGAGAAACAGAACTAATAGGGTGCTTGCGCGCACGCGTGTGTATGTATACATATATATGCATGTATGTAAATATGTGCATATACATCATATATATATATATATATACATAAGAAGGAGATTTTAAGGAATTGGTTCACTTTATTATGATACTGACAAGTCCCAGGATCTGCAGCGTGAGTCAACAAGCTGAAGACCGAGGAGAGCCAATGGTGTATTTTCAGCCCCAAAGTCAGTCCCAAGACCCAGGAAGAGGCAATGTTTCAGTTTGAATCTAAAAGCAAGAAAAAAATAGATGTCCTAATTTCAAGGCAGTCACACAGGAGGAATTCTTCTTTACTTGGGGAAAGGTCACCCTTTTGTTCTATTCAGGCCTTCAACTGATTGGATGAGGTCCACCCACTTTAGGGAGGACAGTCTGCTTTACTCAGACTGCCAATTTAAATGTTAATCTCAGCCAGAATCCTAACAGAAATACTCAGAATAATGTTTGACCGTATATCTGATTACTTCATGACCCAGTCAAATTGACTCATAAAATTAAACATCACAGTGTACATGGAGAACACTACTTAAAGGATTTCAAGTTGAATATTCTCCATTGAACTGTTCCATCTTCAGAGGACGCTTACTTGAAGCTTTTATCCATTCAATTGAAGTGGCTGTGAAATGGGGTGATTTTAGACAGTGATTTGGATTATTGGTCCTAGATATCTTGTCCTGGTCTCATGTGTCCTGTGAGGCCCACCTTATTTATTTTCTCTGTGGTCTAAGCTCCATCTTGACAAATGGTTCTTTTTTAATATTACATGTGATTTTCCTTTGAGTACCATATCAATCTCCAATTTATACTTCTGTTCAGAACATTTAAAGCTAGCATTGTCTTTCATCTAGGTGGTTTACAGTGATGACCACGTATTCTTATTTCATTTATATAAATATATACAAATATTCTGAGTATTCTTGCTTTGTAATTGTTATGTACAATAGTATGTACTCTCAAAATTTCCCCTGAGAACTAGAGGTAGGGTCCTCATAGAGCATTGTAAGAGATTAAGGAGAGAGGCCTCTGGTTACTGAGAACCTTCCTCAAGCCCCGCCTCCTGTGGAATGTTAGCAGGCCGACATCACATACTCCTGCCTTCAGTTGACAAAATGGAAAAAAATGAGCAAGTAAGCATTCCTCCTGACTTCTGGAATAAAATGTGCTTATTTTAAAGTTCTAAGTAAATTTCCAACTTTTGTGAAAATAATTGAATTCCATTTTGGGCTACTATGAACCCAAAGAAGAGGAATTAAATGAAAAGCCCAGTGATGGTTTTTTCCCAGCTGGTGAGTCCTAGAAACTTCGCAGGGTAGAGCAGGATGTACTGCTTTCTTTTTATTGTGCTTCATGGGAGATTGTTCAGTGTGTTTGGGAATTTTTAGGAACGGCAGACAGAGAGGGGATTAATAATATAACCAAAGGTAAAAGTGAGAAGTAAAAAGAAAATCTAAAAATTCTAGTGATTGAGGAACACTAGGTTGTTCTGCCCTCAGAGCAAGTATTGCTGTGTATATCTAGTTGCCCCTTTTTCTAGAGCTAACATTATGCCTTTCCTGTCTTCCATTGTTGGCTTCCTAACTTGTCTTCCTCATGACTGTATTTTGTCAAATCTAGTTTACGACATTTATAAAATAGCTGAAAGAATTCAAGAATTCTTGACTCATTTTTTTGTAAACTTTTTTGGGTGAATGATAACATTTGTAGAAATGTACACAAACTTATATGCTGTTTAAAAATAATATAAAGTGAACATTCAAGTAATCAGCGTCTAAATCAAGAAATAGAATACTGGTACCCTAGAGAGTTTTACTTTTATCCTTTTTTTTAAAGTTATTTATTTATTTTATACCTAAATCTATATCTCTAAACTATAGGGATATAAAAAATAGATAAGTAAGTAGGTAGTAGGTAGGTAGATAGATAAATAGACAGATAGATAGGATGGATGATAGATAGATTAGATAGATAGATAGATAGATAGATAGATAGATAGATAGATAGATAGATAGATAGATAGATAGATATACTTTAGGGACGTCTATCTGCCTGTCTATCTGTCTTTCTCTGTGTCTGTGTCTATCTCTATCTAAAACTATAAATATATACATGCTTTTAAAAAACTATATAATTGGAATTTTTCTCTATTTATTTGTGTTTTGTTCTTTTCCCTTTATAGCATTTTGTAAGAGTCGTCCGTGTTATTTTGTGCAGCTAAAGTTCATTCATGTTCACTGATACATAATCCATTTTATAAAATGTCCCAAAATGTGTTTATCAATTATAGTACTGATAGATATTTGAGTTATTAACAGTTTAGAGAAATTATGGAAATTTTACATGAGCATTCTTGTACATGTATTGTGGTACAGCAGTGCTTATATTTCTTGTAAGATATATAGCAGTAGGATCATTGGCTCATAGGGTATATGTATCCTCAACTCCACTAGCTAATACTAAACAGTTTTCTAAAGTGGTACTATCAACTGATACACCTTCTTCAGTTTGAGAATTCCTGTTATTCCACAAACCTACCAACTCTTGATATTATCAGACTTAAAAATTTCTTGCCTATTTGATAAGTGTGTAGCAATATTTCAAAGTGGGTTTCATTTGTGCTTCCCTAATAACTAATGAAGTCAGGTACCTTTTTGGTGTGGATATTGGAAATTTGGACATTGTTGTCTATGGAGTTTCAAGGGTTTTGTCCATTTTTCTGTGGGGGTGTCTGCCTTTTCGCATTGATTTTTAGAATTTCTTTTTATTCTTTATGATGTCTTTTAATATATTGGAGGTTTTGAAATTATAATGTCATATTTATCATGATTTGGATTTTATATGGATTTTAAAAACATGGACCAGAGAGACTGGTGGTCTAAATATATTTTATCCCTTATGTATCTGGTCTGTGTTGTGCAGATTCACATGGTTTTTTGCCCATGTTTCACAAATAGATATTTACTGAAAACATCCTCTAAGCCTTTCATCCTTCCGTCTCCCTCCAACACATTACTTAGGTAGATGTCTCTGAGTTTTTGATATGGACATTTAAAGTTTTTCTGTATCTGTTTTACTTTGTAAATGTCTATGCATTGTATTAGTAATTATAGTGGTCCGCATATTCCAGTAATTAGTTTGGTTTCACACAGAGATGAGACACCTTTCTCTTCCTTGAAGTCATGAAAAGTTTAACCAAAAGTTTATTAAAAGTGGAAATTCTACTTAAATTCTAGTTATACATTCATGCACCTAGAGAAGAGTGGATTTGCACTGATTATTTAGAATCTACACATGTTATTTCTTGGATCGTACGGCATCCAGTCATCACCTGTCCATCTTTTTCTTTCTCCCAAAGGTCCCTCATGTCCATGATCCGGAAGCGATCCCACCCCAGCGGCACTGGTGCTAAGAAAGAAAAGGCAGCTCAACCAGAAACAAGTAATTCTCAGGCTCCTTGTTTTACTTTCGGTGGCTGACGGTCTATAGTTTTTCAACAGTTCACGTTTGTTGAGGTCTCTGACTATGAACACATTGTCATGGGTGAAGTGCGAAGTTTGCAGCTATAAGAACGAACCAGGTGACAATCACTGCCTTTATGTAGCTTATTGTCTGGAGTGGATAAGCGTGTCCACACGTCACTGTAAAGCGAGGTATGCTGGGAAATGTGTTTTCGTGAAGAGACAAGGAACTTTGGGTGTAAAGGAAAGAGAGGAAGTAATTCCAAGTGAGGGATTTGGGGAAAGGCTTTTCAGAGCCGATAACAAGTGAACTGAGATTTCACCCAGCACCTACTATTTACTGCAGTGCTATGCACCAGAGAGTCAAGACACAGAAGTTACTTTTGGATGGAGGAGACAGGAAGTAACAAGTAATTATCCAATTAAATATATAATTATTTAATTACGATTTTTGATCAGTACTGTGGAGGAGGAGTACAAATCTTTAAGAGATTGTGGAGGTGGATGGCTGGTGTCTAGAAGTGATGAGTATATGTAAATTTAGAAAGTCAGGGTGAGGCTGTTTAGGATAAAAGTAGTTCACACAGAGGGGCAGCAGATTCAAAGGTCCAAAGTGGGGAAGGTATTTGGCAAATTAGGAAGCAAAGAAAATTGGTGTTGTTAGAACATGGGGTGCAAGAGAGGAGGTCTGATAGGTGGGCAGGAGCCGGATTCTGAAGGCTGCGGTCAAGGTTGTGAAATTTATCCTAAAGACAATAGGAGTTTTAAGTAGGGATTGTCTGTGACACTCTGGAGTTGGCATTTATAATGTGGGGACCAGCCTTGCTATCAAAGTGTCTTCTTATGTTAACACGTTATGGTGGCTTTTACTGTACAGTTGGTACGTTTTTCAGAATTTATGAATGGAGCTTTTGTTGCTAGGTTATAGCTCTTAAAAAGCTTGATTGTAGTGAAGGTTTGTGGAATATTTTAGAAGTAGTTTTAATGTCTAATAAATATAAGAAATCATTATATGCTTCAAAGTTAATAACTAATTTTGATAAGAATACATTTATTGGACAAGTTCTGAGATTTCAGAGGTATGCCTGCTGTTTATCACATATTTAGTCATTAATTTGTTGATAATTTCTTACCTCAATTTACTAATCTGTAGAATGGGGATATTATTAGTTCCTGTTTCATAGGGTTGTTGCAGGAATTAATGAGTCTCACAGCATGTAAAGCATTTAGAGTAGTACTTAGCATATAGAAAATACCCAAAATGTTAGCTAAAAAAATAGACAAGGTACTAACTAACCTTTGAGAGGCAGAAGTCCTCATTTGGCAGGTTCTTGTGATCGTTGCAGTTAAGGAAATTTCCTCGATTTTATGCCTTTAGGCCAAATTCAAAGTTGTTCTACCATGTGTTCTTTAGAAATTTTGTACATCATGGGGCATAAGATATTTTTAAATGCCTTTTAAAAAATGTTAGTAAAAGACAGAGTAATCCTGTGGCATTTAGACATTCACTGTAGTTTCTTCTAGGTAGTAACAAAAGGTTTTATTGAGCAACAAGGTGATGGTTTTGTCTGTGGGTCTTTTTCTTTTTTCTTTAAAAGAACTAACTTATTTTTCAAGTGGGTCTTAAAATTTAAGCCTCAGTTAATTACACGTAGCTTTCTGATCCAAGACTGACCTTGAAGCACTAACTCAAAGAACATTTGATTTTATTTTCCTGTGGCAGTTCAATAACATTAGACCTGTTGTCTTCATTTGTCCCTTTTCTTTAATCTCCAGTATCCTGCATATTTCTATTGTTCCCCTGATTACATGCTTTTGTGAGACAATTACCAACTGCGTGATTGCAGAAAGAATTACAAAACATACCATGAGATCTCCATAGGTGATTCTTGCAGATTTATTAGAACCGCTTAATAGTTTAGAAGTTCGTATAGATTGCTTTTTGCTAGTTCAAAAACAGGGTCGGTGAGAGAGAAAGCTTGTGTAGCTAACCTAGCGTTGCCCTCATATTGTGCCTGGGTAGGGAATCTGATAAGAGTGATTTTTTTTTTTTTTTTTTTTTGCTTAAGACCAATTAAGCCTTTACATTTGAAAAAGACTGAGAAATTAAAGCCCGGTTTATAATCTGTGCACAATACAGATAGTGGCACTTCTCTGAATTATCACTATGATTCTGGCAAGCAAAAATGAGAAACTGCTTTAAATTCCTGCTATGTTAGATGCTGCAGCAGATTTGAATGGTGTTGACCATAATTCTCCATCTGTCTGCCTTAATTAGTTTTTGTATGGCGCATTTAATTGGGTTTCAGTCATTCCTTACAGAGTGCTAATCTGTTTGTAGGCGGTGCTCCTGTTGCTGTGCAGCTCTTCCCAAGTCTTACTCAAAAGGGCAGCCTTTTTGAAAATTTAATGTTTTTTTTTGGAAACTTTTTTTTTTTAATTCCCAGGAATAAACTCCATACCCATATCAGGTGCTTGAATGACAGATCTTGATTTTATCTCCCTTGATTTTGAGTAGAGTCAGCAAAAGCCCTGTGTAGTGCATAATGGCTATTCAGATATTGGAT